TTAACATGAGGTTTCTTGATTTTAAAAATAAGCAAGGACTGGACACAATGACTCACACCTATAATCCCAGCACTCAGGAGCCTGAAGCAGGAGGCTCACTGTAAGTTCAAGGCCAGCCTGAGCCAGCCAATTAAGGACTGAAACATCTACAAACTGTGAGCAGCCAACTATAGACTAAAGCCTCTACAAACTGTGAACTAGATAAACCTTTTTCCCTTTAACTTGTGGGTACTGATTTAGTCTCAGCAAACACAGTGAGTTCAAGGCCAGCCTGAGATACATGACAAGACCCTATCCCAAAAAACATGGGTAGGTAGGTAGGTAGGTAGGTAGGTAGACAGACAGACAGACAAATGTAACAAGTTTCAATTTTAAATGGCATGTGGACCAAACAATGAATTAAACCAAACAAAGGAGATCAGTGGGCTAGATTTGCCAGTCTCTAGTTTCTGTCCTGTGATATACAAATGTTATACTTTGGGTGTAGATGTCCACCCAAAACCTCATGCAGTCACAGGTGAGGCTTTTTCACAGGTAGCTGAATCTAGAGTGCATGATGCTGGGATTAAGGGTGTGTGATTACTGAACCAGTCACTGACTGTTTTGGCACCACCCTAATCCCAGTAGACTGGAAACAATATAAAGGACAGAAAGAGGCTAGTCTTGTCTCTTCCTTGCTTGCTTTTGCTGTCTCCTGCCTGCCATGAACTGTTCTCCTTTGTGACACTCCTCTGCCAAGCCACCCTGCCTTGGAGCCAGTTGATTATGAACTGAAAACTACAAACTGTGAGCTAAATAAACTTTGCCCCTTTTAACTGTGGGTGTTGATTTGATCTCAGCAATGCGAAAAGTAGCTAACACAACAAGATAATATAGTTATAAAAAAAAAAGTTGGAATTTAGGTGACCTGGACTCAACTTTCAGGTTCACTACATTAACAGCTGTGGTACTGGACAACATTTATATTATGAGCACCAACCCATTTTTGGTATTTTAACAGGAGGTAACATTTTGGGCATTGATTTACATATTACTTACATGAGTAACCATTGTATAAGCAGTTTACACGTACCATCTTATTAAATCTCTACAGTAAATCCCTATTTTACAGATGGTTTTTGAAAGAAGTTAACATCATGATGCTAAATTAACACAGATGCTAAATAATGAGGCTGAAGTTTGCTTCTGAACTCTATTAGATTCTAGAAAGAAAATATTTTCATATGCATGTGTTCTCATTTTCAACATTCCCCAAATTATACCTTATGAAACACTGTTTAGACAGACGTTTAATGTACCACAAAGAAAAGAAAGAGGAGATGGAGGGAAAGGGGAAAAAGTCTACTAGAATTTCACTTGCAAGATTTATAATGCATCACGACATGGTAAAGGTTGTGAAATAAGAAACTCACTTCACCTCTATTAAACCTACATTTTTCTGATTTATGAGGGACAAGACAGTTCTCAACTACACCTCTTAAACACAGGAAGCACCAATCTGTTAAATACTGTTCAGGTTTATTTATACCAGATAATATAAATTAGGTAACTTCAATATTAGCCTCAGGGACAAGATTAACACACATATCAAAAAATAATTCTTCATTTTTTGCCCAGGTTTTCACCCAGGTTGGGGCAAAAAACTCAGTGGCAAGAAATAACCAGGAAAAATGATAGTGGTTAAGAAGAAAAAACAATTTTGGAAGAGTTAGCTTTTTTACTTCCCTTCCATATCCTGCTATGTAAGTTCTGACTGCTTACTAAGCAAAATATTTACAGTTAAGATAGTAAAAATTGCAACTTGATTCACTTTTCCCCTTTTTATTTTTTATATTGATTCTTTATCTTTATTGTGTACCTCAAATACAAAATTTCACATTGCCCCTATACCAGTCAAATACTGTCAAATAATTTAAGCATTAAGATATTTGCAATTTAAGTTTATTTTACTCAAAGCAATAAGATAGTATAACAAAAGCTGAAGTTTCCACAATATTTCCTGTTCGAAGGGGGGGAAAAAAATCACAGAAAAAACATGGCATTAGAGAAAAAGGATATTTTTAATTATCTTTTGCCACCCCAATTTATAGAAGGCAAAGAAAAGTCCAACTTAAAATGATTTTGTTAGTAAAAAGCAAAGGTATATAAAAACCAAGTATTTGTAGAGAGACACTGTCCCCTCTGAAACAAAAAAGGAATCATTAATGATTACTAATGTCCTCAATGTATGTGAACCAGTTAAGGAAATCAGTCAATCAAACATAGGAAATCAGGCCTGGCATGGTGGCGCTCGCCTGTAATCCCAGCACTAGGGAGGCTGAGGCAGGAGGATCACTGTGAGTTCAAGGCCCACCTGGGCTACAAAGTGAGTTCAAGGCCAGCGTGAGCTGCATAGTGAAACCCTGTCTCAAAAAGGAAAAAAAAAAAAAAAAAGTAGGAAATCAGTCAATCAGACACAACAACTCCCTTGAAAAAGTCAACCCTAACAGGCAAATTACTTAGAAATTGTTTGTTTTTATTTCACTTTATAGGAAAAACTATACCTTCCTTCCTAGTCACTGTTCATCTTTTTCCTTAAAAAAGGGTGAGAAAACCGAGCAATAAAAGCTATCAATACCTTATTGTCATTTATCCACCACTACCAGTGACAAAAAAATAAAATAAAATAAAACAAGGACAACACAGTTATCATATTCAGCTGTTAACTCTTCATGTTGACATGCTATTAATATTACTATAACAGGAGGCAAGGTCAGTTAGGTATAAGGACCACTCACTAAATTAATAATCTAAACCATAAAACTATTTCTAGAAAAAATAGATCCAAAAAAAACATAAGGCTAAATGAAACAAACTAGATAGAGTAAAGCTAAACAAAATAAATTTAAGCATTGGCTGTTACAAATTGAATGTGTAAGGCCGGGCGTGGTGGCGCACGCCTGTAATCCCAGCACTCAGGAGGCTGAGACAGGAGGATGGTTCCAAGTTTGAGACCAACCTGGACTCAAGGTAAGCTCAAGGCCAGCCTGAACTGCATAGCAAGACCCTATCTCAAAAAGATAAAAAAAAAAAAAATAGTTGAATGTGTAAATCCTTTAATTCAGAGGATAAAGAAAGGAGAAATGAAACCAAAATATGAAGGACCAAATCAGTTCCCCAATAGTTGTGGGGCGGGGGTGAAATTACTATAATATAAGGTCTGCTAGCCAGCTGTGCAGGTCCAGAACCAAATTCACCAGCAACCTAAAAGATGAGCAATGATCCTCTATGATTTATTCACACTCAGAATAGATGAACAGAAAATTCAGCGTGCCGGACTGATTTCCCACAAGGATAACTTTATGGTGATCAAACAACTTGCCCTCTATTTACAGTGTTGTTTTAGGTGGGGGTAGTGGTACTGAGGATTAAACCAAGGGCCTCTGCACTGAGCTACATCCCCAGGTTACATTTGGTTTTTATTTTGAGATAGGGTTTATATTGCTAAATTGTCCAGGCTGGGTTAGAACTTGCAATCCTCCTGCATCAGCCCCACAAGAACTAGGATTACAGACATGCACTATCACATCCAGTCTATCATACTCTTTTTCAGCATTAACTATGTTTAGTGACCTGGCTTGCTATATAATTATAGTAATGTGAACTAGAGCATCTTGTAAAATATTACATACAGGCCACAGAGAGGCCTACAGATATGTTGGCACCACAGAAGAGGGATACATGTCTGATGACTCTACAGTACTGCTCATCTCTCAGATTTACCACCTCTCTTAATTCAAAATTTACCTTCCTCATTCTTTTTTTCTATGCCCTACTGCATTTTTTTAGATTTACCACTGACTGAGCTATATTAAGTTACTGTTCCCATGAGCCTGCAATACAAAATATCCTCCTACTGTGTCCTGTCCTGTTTTGAGAAAGCAAATCTCTTCCTCTCTTTTCAAGTTCTTAAACAGTACCTCTAGAACTCCACCACAATTTAAATTGAAACTACGAGGCAGGCAGAGGGAGAGCATTTTGCAGATACTGAAATTTAATTCTAAGTATAATATAAACATTAAAAAATCCAACTGAACATAACACTGCAAAAATATAACTATAATGTGGTTCAAAGAAAGTTGCTAAAAAGCACTTTAAAAAATTTATAGTTAACTCATAAAAAGGATGCAAATAGTCATATACTTACCCAATTATAAAAGATTCACATCTACATAATGCTTTATACGTTATTTTCTTACCCATTACAAAATCCAATTCTCATAATCATCAAATATTTAAATTCGAAGTCTCAAGAAAGATACTTATGAGAGAATAATAAAAATATTCCAGAATTTTCACTTTTGAAGTCATTACAGTTGGTACTAACAATTTAATGTTAATTTATTCAGGCATACATATTTTTGCTCTCAAACCAGATATATTAAGACTGTGCATAGCAGACATAAATTTCCATGTAATACTTAAGTGGGCCTTCAGAGGCTGTTCTGAACTGAAAGAATATTACACTTACACAATTATGCAAATTATAAAAAATGATTTAGAGTTGGTATGTCCAATAATTCTGTTCTAGAGTTACGCTACCAAATATTCTCGGGTACTTGGTACACATATGTTCCACTAAAAACTGCTCTACAAAAAGTACCTGGTATCAAGCATCCATACCTCAATGTGAATAATAAGTGTAACTGAATAAAGAAGACAAATATCACACTGTACTGGGATCTAGGCATTAATCTAATAAGAGGTATCTTATGGAATCCAAAACATCACCTAAGAATTTGGGTATGTACAAAGTCAGTGCTTATCAAATGAGTTATATCCCACTGAGGTCCATTAGGTATACTATATTAAAAAGGAGTTACAGAGCACTACCATAACAAAATAAAGTCTACATCACACTATGTGTCTTTTTCTGTTTTAGAAACATTTTCTAAATAAAAGCACAATATAAACATAAACATGCATCAGTATTTGAAATAGAAAATCGAAAGAGTTCTTACCTTACTACATCATCAATATTGTTCCTGTACACGCCTTCAAGTCTTTCTGCAGGAAATCCCATAGCAATAATGTTTGGATAAATATCTAAATATTTAAGTTAAGGAAACATCTGAAATATGCAACAATGCAAATATGCTCTCACTTTAAAACATTAGCTAACTATAAAAAGTAATTTTTCCCCAGTACAGCTAGTTATAAAAGATTATCAATATATGTACCTGTAACCTAGCATGTATAATTAAGAAGTAATGGTAAATATATTAATTCCAAAAAAGACTCTCAAAACAATTTTACAGCAAAAAAAACTTTAAGCCCCTCTTCTCAGTACATTAAAAATGCTCCTAAAGTAAAAGGTAATTTCCTTATTTCAAGATTTTTTTTTTTTTTTTTTTTTTTTTTTTTGGTCTTTTTGAGACAGGGTCTCACTACAGTTCAGGCTGGTCTTGAACTCACTTTGTAGCCCAGGCTGGCCTCGAACTCACAATGATCCCCCTGCCTCAGCCTCCTGAGTACTGAGATTATAGGCGTGCGCCACCACACCCAGTTTGACATTTCTGTGATTCTCATCCATCACACCAGCTCTCATTTTTTCTTAAACTCATCAGTCCTCTCCAATCTCATGATTTTTCTGACAAAGATATTTCATACCACCAAAGGCTAATTTGCCTATGGCCTCCCTGTAAAGACCAACACAAAAGGTTTCTGCTCACCTATTTCACAATCCATTACCTTCCAAATACAATTCAAACTTCACCTGATTCATTGCCTTTTTCTTTCTTCTCTTTGCAGTTTTTTTTTTTGTTTGGTTTTGAGGCAGGGTCTCACTATGTAGTACAGGCTAATCTTGAACTCAACTCATGGCAATCCTCCTGCCTTACCTTCCCAAGTGCTAGGATTACAGGCATATGCCACCACACCCAGTACAACACTCATTATCAATGTCAACATTCTCTGGTTTTTTTTAACACTGTTGGGTATCAAACCTAGAGCCTAGCACATACTAGGTACACACTCAACCCTACAGAGCTATATCCCTGCCCCTCAGTATTATTTTCAATCCAAAAATAATTTACAAAATTGAAATCTTTTTTTTTGTAATTTAAGAAAGGGTTATTTGTGCATTATACGTAGTGCAAAAACTAAAACTAGACTCACATATATCACCATGCACTAAACTAAAATCAAAATGGATCAAAGATCTAAATCTTAAAACAGAAACACTAAATCTGCTGGAAGAGAGAATAGATAGAAATCTTAAGGACATAGGTGTAGGCAAAGTCTTCATGAACCAAACCCAGGTCACATGGAAAATACTTCAAAGAATCAACAACAATCTACTGGGATCTCATCTTTTTAAAAAGCTTTTGCACAGCAAAAGAAGTCACCAACACAGTGAAGACAACCCATACAGTAGGAAAAAACCTTAACCACTCTTTGCAGTGGTTCTTCAGACAAAGACTAATATCTAGAACATTTAAGGAATTGAAAAAAATCAGACTCCCCCCAAATTTAAAGACCCAATCCAAAAATGAGCATCTGAAATGAATAGACACTTCTCAGAAGAAGTGCATACAACAAATAAATACATGAGTTCAACATCACTGATTATTCGAGAGATGCAAATTAAAACAATGCTGAGATTCTATCTCACTCCACAAAGAATGGCTATCATTAAGCAATCAATCAATAACAAATGCTGGCGGAGATGTGGGGGTAAAAACCCTTCTCCACTGTTGGTGGGAGTACAGCCTGGCGCAATAACTGGAAATCAGTATAGAGATTCTTCAAAAAATTAGGACTAGGGGTTCTATTTGACCTAGCTATGCCCCTTCTTGGTATCTTGCCAAGAAAATTAAAAGCATCATACCACAGTGATATATGCACATCCATGTTTATAGCAACAGTTTGTAAACAATCCAAATGCCTACCAACCAATGAACAGATAAAATAGATGTTTTTTCAATACAATGGAGTACTACTCAGCCATAAAGGATAATTTTGAGACATTTATAGTTAAATTTGAGAGATTTATAGTTAAATGGGTGGACCTTGAGACCATACTCTTAAGTGAAATAAATTAGATAAACGTGTAAATATCACACTGTCTCTCTGATGTGAGAAACTATAAGTGTAAATAATATCCAAAATATACAATAAACATTGTGAAATAGGAAGTAATTGTTCAAAGGGAAAGGAGAATTTGGGGGAGGGGTAAAAGGAAAACAAAAAAATGAATATTTTAAGAAAAAACTGTACAGAACAGGGTACACCAAAAATATGTCTTTAGTACAGGAATGAAAAAATTTACACATATATTTGCTAGAAATTGAACACCCTAACACACACACATACACACACCCCTCTACAAAATAAATGAGCTAACAAAAATGGCCGCTTTACATAGAATAGAAGCTGGGTGTGGTGGCACGTACCTATAATCCCATTACTTGGTAGGCTGAGGCAGGAGGATCACAGTGAGTTCAAGACCAAGTGAGGCAAGAGGCAGAATGGGAAGGGGAAAACTATAATAGTAACAAGTAGAAGCAAGACTACTATGTATATCTTTGGATAATGTTGACCTTTTTCTTTTGTGTGTTTGTATGTGTGTTTGACAGGACTTGGGGTTGCAGGAATTAAACCCAGGACCATAAGCATGCTGACAAAGAACACTGAGCTATACCCCCAGCCCAAATTTTAACCTCTGAATCATTATAATTTCAAAAAAGACAATTTTTTTTTTTAATTTCATATGAAGTCTGGGAGTGGAGCTCAGTAACAGAGCTGGTTCATCTCCCGGTGCCTCTCATAAATCAACTAAAAATTTTTATTTTTTTATTTATTTTTTTCAACTAAAAATTTTAAATCCCATACATTGAAGAGAGTTAGAAACAAATCTGATTAAGTATCAATGATCAGGAGAAAGCACTGATTTTAAGGCTAGACACTCCACTTCTGTGTTTCTTGGTAGAAAGTATTTTAAGAACAAAAACTATAAAGTAATTTTAACCTATTTATGATAATTTTACTCTCTTTAGTAGTATTACTGGTATCTTCAAACTTTTATGCAATACATAAAAGCCATGAAACTATGCTAATATTTTTAAGATTCAGGGTTATGAGATTATACTTTAAAATCTAGAAATTTAAAAAATCAGTATGAATTCATGTTTATAAATATTTGTATTTTCTAGATCTTTTCACTGAAATGGCCTATAAGCAGTGTCACTCAAGCAGCAGTTAATATACCTAGAACTCAAATTTTTGCCTCTAGTACATTAAAGGTACCAAACTCCTTTAGGGAAAGAGTTGATGTCAGCCAGATCTGAGGCAGGGAGATACAGGTAAGCCTAGGATAGATTCTGTGACAGTGAGCAAGAAAGGCTTATAGAAATTAATGTTCTATCAATGGACAGAGGAGCTAGCATAAAGTCTCAATGACTAGATTATGATTATATGAACATCAAACAAAAACTTAGAATAAAATGGCCTGAATTAAAAGTCCAAGTCTATAAAGACACTCAAAACAGAAAAAGGTTAACAAAAGTCCTTTTTATTTATGACCTTTTCAGTGGCTACTGGAATAGTTCTTCGCTTTGAAAATTGGTGAAAGTATTCAAGTATTTAACCTGGTTTTCCTGTAGTAAATACATACCACAGCAACCACATAGCCTCGCTTCATAAACTCTACTTAAATAGGAAACAACTGGTAAATATGAAAGAATAGAATTAGTAAAGTCATGTTTTGGGGCTGGGGGATTAGCTCAGCAGCACAGTGCCTGCCTGGCAAGCATGAGGTCGTGAGTTCGATTCCCGGTACCAGAAAATCCCCCCAAAATAAAAAAAAAAAAAGAAAAGTCATGTTTTGCAAGTCCTAATGAAATTACTTATTTAGGCAAAGATAAATAAACACTGCTAAGCCAATAGGCAAGAAGTTGATGAGGAACTAACCTTTCTAATAGGGTCAAAATACTTTCCAATATATAGAGACGAATGGAACAACAGCAGAAAAGACTGTCATTTCACACTTTCAGCAACCAACCTTAGTTAGCATCACCAAGAGTCAAGCAAAAATCGTTTAACTTTTGAAATAGTACAATATAAAAGATAAAGCATCCTCTATGACAGTCAAGTATCTTTGGCAAATTCATAAAGCCTTTACATAAAAATTTTAATGTACAGCAAATTCATAAAAGAACAAGCTAGCTGGGTGTGGTGGCGCACGCCTGTAATCCCAGCACTCGGGAGGCTGAGGCAGGAGGATTGTTGTGAGTTCAAGACTACCCTGGGCTACAAAGTGAGCTCAAGGCCAGCTGAACTGCATAGCAAGACCCTGTCTCAGAAAGACCAAAAAAAAAAAACCCAAGCTAAATGACGTAAGAAAGTGAACCGGACAAATCAAAAGGTCTGTAGCACACAGCCTAATCACTCTTCAACAAGTCATTCCATTTCTTAAGAGGGGGAATTGGGTAAATAGCTGCCCTTGACTCATAAAAGTTAAAAAAGTTTCTGCCAGATGTGGTGTTGCACGCCTGTAGGCCCAGCACTTGAGGCAGGAAGATTGCAAGCTTGAACCCAATCTGGGCAACTTAGCAAGATCCTGTCTCAAAAAAACAAAAAAAGGGCTAGGGGATAGCTCAGTGCAAACTGAGTTTAACCCACAGAACCACAAACATACATATTATACATTTGGCCATACAGACATAGACAAAAGGATTATAAATTAAGTTACTAAAAGTAATGATACCTATGTAGCAGGACTATTTTTCCATATTTTTGGTTGTTGTATACTTCCTATTTTTGCTACAATGTACCTCTACTATTTCTGTAGCAAATTTTTAAAATTTTGCTTTGTAATTGTTTTCAAGTCTACTTACTTTGTGCCATGATGATATATTACTATTTTGTACAACTTAGCTCATTTCTACATTGAGTTTCTTAAAATACTTATTTCTATCAAAAGTTACAATAACAAAGCTACATAACACTTAAATAACACTTTGTTACTTTAAGAACATATACATTCACCCCTAATTTCAAAAATTTAAGATTATCATTTTAACATAATGAATATTACCTGTCACCTA